ATGGGCCATCCTGGACACTCCCCTGTGCAGGTGGAGGAGTCACAGGGGCAATTGACATAGTGTAAGTAAACACGAAAGGTCCATAAAAATATATATAAAATATATATGTGTATAAATAAAACCATTAAAACTAGTGACAATCATAAAATCATATGAACCATAAGAAGTGTGCACAGTGAAAAATAAATAAGTGGAAAGTTACACATATATATAAAATAAAAATCCTTCCCTGGTGATGCACTGCACTGCTCGCCTTTAAATAAATGGATGGATGGATGAGCAACGCTACGAAGCTGCCTAGTGCTCTGCTTGCCATAGACAACCATGGGACATGGATTTAATATAGAGAGTAGATCTGAAACCCAGCAGAGACACTTATTAATTCATAGAATTGCAGCCTACAGGGTGTGTGCTTATCATTCTAGTATAGTCATATGATGAAACGTAGGCATGTGTGGCAATGTAGTGCACCATGGATGGATATGCATATGCGATACTATATACAAGAACAAAGGAGATAAATCAGTAGTAAAACATAAATGTTGATATTAAAGAAAAATGTTTTAATTTTTTCTTTAATTTCCTATATATTTATATTTCTTATGCTTCCATGTTTATGCATACACACATATACCGTACACTATACCAATTTTACCAGATATTATACTATATTGTAACAATACTTATTTAATATTTTATTTAAACTTTGTGAACCATATTAAGAAGTTTTTTGTAACGTTTTATATCAACATTTATGTTTTACTAGTGATTTATCTCCTTTGTTCTTGTATATAGTATCGCATATGCATATCCATCCATGGTGCACTACATTGCCACACATGCCTACGTTTCATCATATGACTATACTAGAATGATAAGCACACACCCTGTAGGCTGCAATTCTATAAATTAATAAGTGTCTCTGCTGGGTTTCAGATCTACTCTCTATATTAAATCCATGTCCCATGGTTGCCTATGGCAAGCAGAGCACTAGGCAGCTTCGTAGCGTTGCTCATCCATCCATCCATTTATTTAAAGGCGAGCAGTGCAGTGCATCACCAGGGAAGGACTTTTATTTTATATATATATGTGTAACTTTCCACTTATTTATTTTTCACTGTGCACACTTCTTATGGTTCATATGATTTTATGATTGTCACTAGTTTCAATGGTTTTATTTATACACATATATATTTATATATATTTTTATAAACCTTTCGTGTTTACTTACACTATGTCAATTGCCCCTGTGACTTCTCCACCTGCACAGGGGAGTGTCCAGGATGGCCCATGTGACCTTTGGTTTAACTAGTAGAGAGCATATAAAAGAGGGAGCAGACATTTGGTCAGTTGGCTCTGAGGAAGAGGCAAGTCCTCGAAACGCGTCAGCCTTTTGGATGTCTATACTCCCTATTGTGGACTGTTACTCGGCGCGGTGTTGACCCAGCTGTTCTTTATGATCTGCCTTGACTATATTGTCGTTTGTGAGTACAACACATACTTTATTTTTTATTAAAACGTTTTTTATGGTAATGCACTAGGCCTGTGCCCCGGATAAATGGGAATATCCAGATAGGCATCTTGGATATCTACAGATGGGCTTTGAAGGTATTTGTTTAGAGATTTTATTTTGGGTATAGAACAAATACCTTTGTTGGGTTTTGGTACCATGAACAGGTTTGAACAAAACCCCTTGAACCTGTCCTGTAGAGATACTGGAACAAATACTCCATGGGGAGGTAGAAGCCCCTGAAGGTTGTAATATTTTGCTGTGGAAGGAGGACATAATTTTCTATTCTGTCTAGTGCCTCGCACCAAAAAAAGAGGTGCACCTTCAAAAGGGCATGCGTGTGAGGAGTCTTTTACAGGCAGCTTAGCTGAACAGTCTTTGAGCCACAAGAATCTGTGCATGTAAATAGAAAGCAAAGCCATTCTGGAGATTTATGTACTAACTTGTTCTAGGGCATCCACATAAAAGAGCAAGACAGAAGGTAATTGCTCACTTAAACTGCTGGTCTAGAATATAGGATCGTACTGGTTGTTCATTGCACTAGTCCAGTTAGTTGCAGTTTGGCAGACAGAAATTGCAGCAATAGCTGGTTGTAGAACTGGGCCTGTGAAAGTAAAGAGTGCCTTTAAGAGCGTCTCATCTGTTTATTCAGCAGAATCTTTAAATAAAAGAGCATCTTTTATTAGGTACAGTAACTCTTTGTTCAAAACTACGATGGCAGAGTCTACTACCAGACCACTATTTTTGTGGGGAACTCTTTTTGCACTAGATAGAGCTTGGCAATTATTTTTGGAGGGGTGAAAATATCTTCTGGATTTACCCAATAATCACAGATTGAACATTATATTTATTCAGGAATAACAAAAACCTTTTTAGATGTGATGGGGTGTAGGACCCTGGAGGTGAGAAATCTGCTGTGGCCTCTGTAACCAGTGTACACACAGTGAAGGACGCAGCCTCCATTTTGTTAAGAGTATCCATGTTATTCCCTCATTCTTCCCCCCCTCCCTCTCTGAGAGGCACAGTGACATATGGCAGCATGTGTGTGTGTGTGTGTGTGTGTGCGTGTGTTAAAAGTGTCACAGGCCAGAGCCATCAGGGGGGCTATGAGGTATAGGACCCCCAAGGGAACCGGGGCCTAGCTGTCCAAAGAACCTGTACAATTTAACACCTTGTATAAGATAAGGCAAGCTTTCCCCGGAGTTCAAAGAACATTCCAAGGAAACACGACCAGATAACTTTTGTTAAAATCCATTTTTCCCCTATGTCTCATATCTTGGAATATGAGAGACTTACATACAAACTGGACATATCGTTAGATTGGCTAAGAGGAGACAAACATTTTGGTAGGTCACTCGCCTTGTCTCAAATACATAGGAAAGCTGAAAAGTAGATCTCGTGAACCTTTCAATGTATATATTCATTATTTATTTATTTATTTCAGGTACTTATATAGCGCCGTCAATTTACACAGCGCTTTTACATATATATATATTGTACATTTCACATAATTCATATCTAATCAATCCTCAGACCTCCACACCCTAAACGGGGTATTAGTCCTTGACTTCAGAGACACCCCTGCTGGGGGACTACAAAATAGGCTGTCAGGCCGAAGAGTGTAAGTTGAAGACGTCTCCCATTTTAACATCAGTACCACCTGGGGAGACCCGTGCCCTTTTGCTCTGAAACTTGGATCTGCTAACCCAGGACTTTGGCAAGTACCTTAACCCTTTCACCTCTCTCTGATATCTATTTGCTGTGCTGTTGGTCTCTGTATATTTATATATCAGTTACATCTTTTTCTGTAAATATTTTTATTGCACCCCTTTCTAATTTTTCAGTAATAAATCTTTCCTTCTGAAAGTGTTGTACTGTTTCTATAGCTCTTTATTGCAATTTACGAATTCCTGCCTCTAAAGAGAACGCTACTGTGTTTTTTTTAACCCTCTGTATAACCGGCCTGCGGTGACCATTTTATACAGGCGATTATCTCAACCATTATAGTGTTATAGCTGATATCACCGAGTTTCCTCTTTCTCTGTACAAAAAGGTGATGTCAGTGTGAAGGGTTAATTGCGTAATTAACCTGACCCAGTAACAATCGCATTCAGGCTGCCAGTACATCGATTGTGGTCCAATTAGCTGGAAAATCGTTGTGCAGGGTGCAGCTGAGTGTGGCATTGTTACACACGTGACAGTGCGGTTTTAGATTGGCTAGTCCTTCGGTCACGAGTTTGGTGAGAAGGGCTGGGGTGTGACACCACGTTCGTAACAGATTGGTGACAGTGATCGTGGGATCGTCACATATTGGTGGCAGGGATCCCGCGTCCGTCACAGCCTCCTCTAATACCACCTCTCCAGGTCCTCTTCATTCCCTTATAGGTCTACCTCTTCTAAGGCAGGCATACTGGGATCTGAATTTGGTAAGAGTTGGTGGGGTTGGGGAAGGTGCCTTTTGTTTTTGAACCATTGACACTGATGGCCACGTGTTGTGTGCCAAAGATAGCTAGAATTGGATACAGAAACCAGTGTTCAAAATTACTTCCTCCTCTGATGAAAGAAAAGCATTGTCACCATAAGGCTGAGTGTTGTGAGGACCTTCAGCAGGGTGAACGTTTCCCTGAGCTTCTGCTGAAGCTCTTCAGCTGAAGCCTGGTTTCCATCAGGAAACCAGGTGAGGGTATTCCCCTGTGGGGTACCCATATGTAGGGTACGAAAATGCATGTCCCATAAGGAGTATGCAGCAACCCAAGTGTGGAAAATCCTGTAGCAAAGTCCTTGTGGCAAAAGGGCAGAAGGAATAGCCTGAGTACCTTATAAAAGGGTTCTAGGCAGAAGTGGCAGTAAAACGTGCGACTTGTGGTTTGATTTACACTCTGTTATCCACCTGAGCCTAAGCTCTAAGTTTTTGAACTTTATCAAGTTTTGATAAGTTTACAATATACTAAATAAGCTCCAAACAGTTCCGGTTACAACATATGAATGCATAATATTCAGGGTTACAAGGCTACAGTAACTGTTCAATAAACAGGGTGATCCTGCCTTAACTATCCATGGTGCTAGTCCCTATACAGAGTCGAAGCTTCGCCCGTCCTGGGGGCATACCACCGAAAGGGGTCTTCATGTCCTTAAAAGTTTGCCAGTGGCCAATCACCTGAAGGTACCATACTATAACCTAGTGCCTATGAATATGCATCTTGTGTCCTGTACTGTAAAAATAAGATATTTGCTTAATCTTCTCCCTGCAGAACTAAAAGAAAAGATGCCCATCCTTCTAGGGCACTAGCAAAAAATCTGAGGCATGCTAGCAGTAGGTAGGGTTAACCTGGGCTGACCTACAGTTTACAATCCTCCTATAGGAAACAGTATAACCCACAAGGTTAGGACTGTGTCCCTCAATGGACAAGAAACATTGTTTTGCATATACATAACAAGCAAGCTACAAGTTGTTCACATCTACAAAGTACAAAAAAAAAAAAATTACTACCTGTCTGCACTGCGGTGTCTCTCCTGGGGGAGACTAGTGTTGTAACACTTGGTAACATAACACTGTTGGCTTCGCTGCGAGAACCCTGTGGTATAACATCAGTGGTGCAAGTAGCAGCCTGGCTGAGATCCAAATGGATGGCTTCATCTGAAAAAAAGATTAGATGAACACTAGACATATTATCTAGGAAATCACACTAGTACAAATACTAGGCTTTACAAGTGAGATACACACAGTAATAAAATCAGTAACAATTGTAGCTAGTCTGTGTAAAAAAAAAAGAAAGAAAACAGAAGTGTAGCAAGATTTTATCCTTTACTTTGAAGGATGTAAAATTAAACATCTGACTCCGGAAAAACAGACAATTCTTACAGTTTTTAAAATACAAAGCCAAGCATCTATTTCAACATTTGTTTACATTCGCGCTGCCTTCTAAGAGCAATTCGTGTTGGATTTCTCTCTAGAGTGCATTATATGTCTTCCTCACTGTCTGTTTTAACCTTTTGCATCCACACCAGCATGCAGCAACCTTGTGTACAGTACACAGTTGCAGAGCACCCCTTTAAGTTTAATGGGTAGTACCACCCCGCCGTACACAACAGCGGGGATAATCTTTGCCATGCTAGCGGCATTATGTATACCCCCGCTGTTGCCCCTCAAGTGCAAGTGTAAAAAAAAGGCCAAACTGAAAACTTTCAGTGTGAGGGTTACAGGCTATCATTAAAGTTGCAATTTCAGTTATACTTGCATCATCGCTGAGAGCTAGTATATTGAGAGAAATCAAATTACAGTGCACTTCATCTCCCTTCCAAACTCATCCCAGTAAGCACTAAGAAAACGGCAATGGCAGCACCACTGGCTCAGTGTCCATCTGGTTTATGCCTTTCAGGCCAACAGAAGTCCTGCAGCAAGTCAGCAACACTTGCCACCTGTTAGTGATGTACTAAATGCTGGTTTCTGATGTTCTGCCTGGGTGACAACCATGGTTCCCTTTGAAAGATACAGGGGAGTGAGCGAGCATCGCCACCCTAGGCCAAAGGACAGAAGTGCCTAGGTTCGATTGTCCTGTTACCACCGCCCCGCTGTTCTGCACTCACAGTGGACCACAAGTGTTTCCAGGCACACTTACATCATCACCTCTGCTAACAAGCCCACATTGATCCCTGGTTCTGTACTCCGCCATCTACAGAGTTCTGTGCACAGGTATGGTTTACACACAAACACAAACAGTACTGGAACTCATCCATATGGTCTCAGGCATAGTACACTTAATTGTTCCCAGGAACAGTTTGGAGTACTCACAAAACACAAACGGACCACACAAAAAGGTTGAACCATATCCGGGCTCAGATAAAACTGCCAGTGAGTGCAGCCAAAGACCCTGTTCTTGCCCCCCTCCTGTGCCTCACTACTGTTCAGTACAGCTGCCAAAAAGCTTCTACTGCTACTCAAGGTAAGCTGGCAATTAACATCCACTTTCCAAATGCAGAAGGGGTGCTAGCCCAGCACGCCACTGTACATGCACAAATGAAAAGTCTGGATGGAAAAAAAAAATATGATGATGCGGATGCTAAAGGAAAACTGACCCGTGTATTATAAATAATCAATAAGTGACATATGTAAGAAAAAAAATTAAATAATTGATCAGAAATGGACGAATGTGATAAACAAACAAAAAAAAACATGAACGTGGCCCAATATGTGATCAATATGAATATTGCGTGAGCAAAAGAGATCAGAATAAATATATAAATCACAAATACATGAATAGTGTGCAATACCATGTGAAAAAATGCAACAATAATGTGCACAGTCCCAATAAATCTGTATCTTCAAACAATTGTGACACATCCAGCAACCACTGCCATGATCAATCCCCCAATAGCTAGCGTGCACACTCACCTCCAGGCTGCGACCCACAAAGGGTCATATGGCTTCAAATACACTCAACCGATGTTATTACTGTAATCAGGGCAATCCTCTTGGCAGAAATAGTGAACACTCATGAGTGTAACCGAAGTTGTGATGTCCCCTCATGGAAATGGCCAAACAAATGCCTCTCAAGTGACCCCCACATGGAAAATTAAACCAAAAAACTTCCCATAGTGTAGTAAGCAAGAACATTTATTGGATAAGAAAAACAGCAAAGTGCCTACTCACATAAGAACAAGGGTCCACAGACCCATAAGGCATATAAACTTTATTAACACACACAGGTGTATTACACTGAGGTGTACCAAGATGGCAGCTGCCGTCCACGCTGGAAACGATGTCAGCATGCTTCCATCCTACGTGTTTCGTCATGAATCACGAGACTTCCTCAGGGCAAGCGGAGTGTATTTGAAGCCATACGACCGCTTGTGGGTCGCAGCCTGGAAATAAGCGTGCACGCTAGCTGGTGGAGGATTGATCTTTGCAATGGTCACTGGATGTGTCACACTTTTTTGAAGATACGCAGATTTATTGGAACTGTGCACGTCATTGTTGCATTTTTCACATGTTATTGTACACTATTTATGTATTCGTGATTTATATATTTACTCTGATATAATAATAATATTCATATTGATCATGTGTTGGGTCACGTTCATATTTTTTTTTGGTATTGGCAGCGCAGGAGGATCCCTTTATTGAAAAGTCTGGATGGCTGTACTACCTTGTTCTTCTGGGCAACACTTTATTTAATCAAAAATGGTCCATAAAAGCAGCTTAATGGTATAAAAGTACACACAGGGCAGTTTAGGTATGGAAGAAGCATAGCAAGTGTGAAACGTGCATTACCCATCTCTCTTCTTCCCCTGTGTGTACTATTGTACCACTGATCTGCTTTTATGGATCATTTTGAATACATAAAGTGTAGAGCAAATGAGCGCAGCCACCTGGATTTTTCATTTGTGCAAGGCTGCCCATAACACTGATAGACCAATAGCGAAGTTCAGGGAGAAAGTCAAGTCTCTTCATCACTAACAACTGGCTTTTGGGCAATCAGTGGAAACCTGGTAGTGTCTGTAATGTCACAACACTGACATTTCAGCATCTTTTATGCCAGTTTCCCTTTGCTTTAAATTAACCTGACAAACCAACAATAGATCCATTCTTCTGCTAGATCTGACGTCCCATTCTATAACAGAATGCAGTCAGGCACAACAAACAGTAAAGATTACCTGCTGCATTCTTCTGCAGGTTGGATACATCATGTCCTTTCTGCAGTAAATGACGCATTCTCTGCTCCTGCTTCAGCCGCTGAGCCTCCTCTTGGGCCCTCTGCATACTTTGATAGAGTTCCCTGGTCTTCAAGCTTAAAACCTCCTGTAAACAAACATTTTATAACTTCACTCTTTCCACTGCTTTGTCATTGAAATGTCATTCAAGAACAAAAGATACAAAGAATAATAATAATGAAAAATAATAATTAAAAAAAAAAGAGAAGATGTAAGTTATGTACAGTTTAGTCCACTTAACATGATTCTGCATCTAAAATAGCCCATGTAAGTGTATTATGACTTTAGAAATATGATACATTCAGTATGTTTCCGAGTGTAGCCACTTCTCAGCATCTCAGACTAGTAGTTATGAAACAGGGAAAAAAAAAGTTTGGGTTCCCACAATGCAGTGTCAGCTTTCAAAGTGTGCAGTCAGCGTGAAGCAGTGGGAGAGTGTGCATATGGGTATTAGCAGGGGCGGACTGACAACTCATGGGGCCCCCGGGCAATAGGGGATCATGGGGCCCCTGTGTCCTTGCCCAAACTCAAAAAAGCCTATGAAAAAGGTACCAGGGGCATCTCATGGGGCCCCCTACTGACCCCGGGTCCTCGGGCAGTGCCCAAGTTTCCTTATGGTCAGTCCGCCCCTGGGTATTAGTCAGTTTCCTACCCAAGTAATTACAGCAGTGCATGCAAAGTGACTAGATCAGATCGATCCCCACTGGTCCCTTGGAAGCACAGTCCTGTGAGGACCACTCCATTACATAAGGGGTGGGGAGATTAGTATTATACATAGGAAACAATATTGTTTTTGCTTTTAGCATAGCTCATAAGAAGTGACAAGAACACTATTTCTTGCAAAATCAACAGGTATTTTGCTGTACATGTTCTTAGCCTGCATAAAAAAAGGACTATTAAGCCAGCCATAGATGGTTCGAACTGGCTAAGATTCGAAACCATCCATGGGCAGGCTGATTGTACCCAGGTCAATCGACTTGGGTACAGCCAGCATGTCAGTTTTTATATGCTATTATTGCTAGCAGCTATAACAGCTAGCAATAATCATGCTGTTCTCCCAGCAGGGATGGCTCCCTGTGCCTCCAGGTGGGAGAACACAATAGCTCCGCAGGAGAGAATCCCGCATCAACATTGACTGAGTTGATGGGGGAAACTAAAAAGCATCAACTATGGCCTATCGTAAGCTGCAATACACTATATTGCCAAAAGTAATTGGGACACCCCTCCAAATCATTGGATTCAAGTGTTCCAATCAACTCCATGGCCACAGGTGTATAAAATCAAACACCTAGGCATGCAGACTGCTTCTACAAACATTTGTGAAAGAATGGGTCACTCTCAGGAGCTCGGTGACTCCAAGTGTGGTACCGTGATTGCAGCCTGTGCAATTAGTCCATACATGAAATTTCCATGCTACTAAATATTCCACAGTCAACCGTTAGTGGTATTATAACACAGTGGAAGCAACTGGGAACAACTGCAACTCAGCCACGAAGTGGTAGGCTGCGTAAAATGACAGAGCGGGGTCAGCGCATGCTGAAGCACAGTGTGCAGAAGTCGCCAACTATCTGCAGAGTCAATAGCTAAAGACCTCCAAATTTCATGTTGCCTTCAGATTAGCACACAACAGTGCATAGTGAGCTTCATGGAATGGGTTTCCTTAGCTAAGTAGCTGCATCCAAGCCTTACATCACCAAGTGTAATGCAAAGCGTCAGGTGCAGTGGTGTAAAGCAAGCCGCCACTGGACTCTAGAGCAGTGAACACGTGTTCTGTGGAGTGACAAATCACGCTTCTCTGTCTGGAAATCCGATGGATGTGTCTGAGTTTGGCATTTGCCAGGAGAACGGTACTTGCCTGACTGCATTGTGCCAAGTGTAAAGTTTGGTGGAGGGAGATTATGGTGTGGATTTTTTTTTTCAGGGGTTAGGCTTGGCCCCTTAGTTCCAGTGAAGGGAACTTTGAAGGCGTCAGCATACCAAGACATTTTGGACAATTTCATGCTCCCAACTTTGTGGGAACAGTTTGTGGATGGCCCCTTCCTTCCAACATGACTGCGCACCAGTGCACAAAGCAAGGTCCATAAAGACATGGATGAGCGAGTTTGGGGTGGAGTAACTTGACTGGCCTGCACCTCAACCCGACAGAACACCTTTGGGATGAATTACAGCAGGGACTGCAACCCAGGCCTTCTTGTTCGACATCAGTGCCTGACCTCACAAATGCGCTACTGGAAGATTGGTCAAATATTCCCATAGACACACTCCTATACCTTGTGGTCAGCCTTCCCAAAAGACTTGAAGATGTTGTAGCTGCAAAGAGTAGGCCAACTCAATATTGAACCCTACGGACTAAGAGTGGGATGCCATTAAAGTGCATGTGCGTGTAAAGGCAGGCATCCCAGTACATTCGACAACATAGTGAATATTACAATTTTGTTAGGTTTAGATATACTTCACGCTAATGTTCCAATTAATTTTGCATTCTATTTGACAAAGTGTAACCTCAATACTATTTTTAATAATTTGGAAACTAATACATTTTAGTCAAAATGTATTTCACAAATATGATGAAGTGAATAAAAACTAAGTGTCCATAAGTGTGTAGCATTATATAAAGACCATGTTCTAAAAGTCCTGCTAGGAATTGGTTTTACAGGCTCTGTCGCTTTGTTATGACTGAAGCTGTCTACATCACAAGTCTTGTGAAATAACTGTAACCGCCCAAGGTACTAGAGAATACGAGAATTTCTGAAAGACTTTGCGATAAAGCAAAATGCTACCATATATAGGTGAAGTTTTATACCTCTTTCTGTTTCTGTCGATACATATCCTCCTCGTACTGCTTCTGTAACTGCGCCTGTTCTCTTGCCAACCGCTGCTCTTCCTCTTGCTCCTCCCGCTGTCTTTGTTCATCTTCCAGTTGTTTTCTCTTGCGCTTTTCTTCAACCTGAGCCGCTATAGCTTTCTGGTAAGTGGGATGGCAGGGAATGTAAAATCCTCACATTGCTGACATATCTAACTTGTGCAAACATAAACGTGAAAGTGCAGCCTGCTGATCTTCACAATGGATTCAGCAGAAACTACATCGAATCCCAGTAAGATAAAGATTCTACCTACCTGCTTCTTCTCTGAAGAAATAGTTATTTAACCATGTTCTTGATTCTGCATTGATGTCCTATGCGGTGAGTCTCAGTCTCTCTGGTCTATATGCACTTTTGTTCTTCCTCCCTGTTTTTTCCAATGACCCTCATCTATGCCCGCTTTTCCTATCCAATGTTCTCACAGTTTCTAATTTGTCCTTCAACACTCCTTATAAACTGTTGCTCCAGTCTACAGGAGGGTCAAGGTGGAACAGCAGTTCAGTATCTGATCCTCACCTTACCATTCATAATCTTCTAATGCCTCCCCTCAGCCATGATCTGCTCCTGATGACCAATTTTCCCTACTCTACTGTCTCATCTAAATCTGCTGCTGTTCCCTTTTCTCCTCGTATACCTATTATTTGGCCCTACACTCCCCTGATCTGGTCAGCTCTCTAGTCTTCAGATTAGAAACAAGCCAGCTGGTACAGGCTGTTTTCCTACCCACATGCCACCAATTCCCTCTTCAAACCTCCTTTAAAATCTCTCATGAGCCCAGCTTCCTTTCTCTCTGTCTTCCCACACGACTCCTCCACCCTGCATCCCTCAAAATCAGATCCTGATCAAGTCTGTTCTACTATAAAACAGATCAGAGTGGCAGCCATATTTTATTTTTTTTTTTTGGTTTTGGTGTAGGCACACACTAAGGCTCCATGAACACTGGGTGTTTTAACAACGCTGGTAGTGTTAACAACGCAAGTTTTTCAGTGGTTTTTTTTTTAGCATTTTTGCATTAGAATTTAGCTGCGTTTGTTTTTTGTTTTTTTTTTTTTTGTTTTTTTTTTTTACACAAAAAAATAAAAATTTTTAAAAAAAAAAAAAAAAAAAAAAAAACTGGTTTGCCACGTTTTTCAGCATTCAGAGCGTTTTTACAGCTAAAAAACCTAGTTCTGGTTTTTTTTATTTTTTTTTTTTTTTTTTTTTCTTTTTTTTTTTTTTTTTTTTTTTTTTTTTTTTTTTTTTTTTTCCAGCCAAAAAACGCTAATTAAAGTCCATGTGTGCATGGACACATAGGATAACATGCTGGGGAATTTACTGGCTGCAGAAAAAAAATGCCAAAGACAAAAACAGCAGCTGTAAAAACATCCACTGTGCATGAGGGCTAAATCTGGCCATAGGTGATCTGTGGTTTTTTTTTGGTTCAGCCAGCAGCCTGAATGAGAAAAAAAAAAGGAAGAGATTCCTCTATCCATGAAAGCAAGGTGGATAGAGGAATCCTCCCTGCTGGGACATTGTATTCTGACAGCTGGACTCTCCCCTGTCAGAATACAATGATCAGTGGCTGCAGTCACTGATCAGGAAAACATTTCCAACAAACCCGTTCAACAAACAAGAATGATTGATTTATGTAAAACAGGCACAGCCACACATGGATTGAAATTCGTCCAGTCCCTGCTGAACCAGATGAATGTCGATGCATCTGTGGTCAGCTTAAGTCTTCAGCTGCCAGGCCTTTGTCACTTCACTTTGTGTGGAGGGGCCTGAGCATGGCGGTGTTGGAGAGAGCGGAGTAGACTCTCTCCGTTAACCTTCCCCCCCCCCCCCCCCTCGCTTTTCCCCAAAGGTATCCTGTTGGCTGCTGTGAATGATCGCCGACGACTTACCCGTGTGAGAGGGGGTCTTGGCGGCGGAGGGAAGCCTGTGCGGGTATGCAAGAGGAGCCGTATGTCGCCTAGCGGTGAACCCGGATGGAGTGTCGGGTTGCCAGGCGACAAAGAGAAGCAGCGTGACCACGTGGCAGCCGTGGAGGAGTGTTGGGAAGGAAAAAGCCGGCTGGCGTCCTAAGGAGTTGGGGAGACGCCGGCTTGAAAGAAAAGCACCCTGCCTGCTACCTGTAAAAGAGAGCGGGTAAAGGAAGAGAGCGGGGCCCGGAGGAATCCCCCCAGAGAGGGAATAAAGACAGGAGAGAACTCTGAACAGCGGATAAAAAAGCTGAAACCGCCTCACTGAAAAAGCAGTAGGAAGGAGGGTGAGTGAGAGTGGCTGGACTGTATATTGAACCTATATATTGATCCTTAATGTTGAAGCAGGGGAGGAATATATAGGAGGAAAAGGGGAATTCCTAAGGGGACGGAAGAAACTTGAACTTTCCCAAGGGACTAATCATAGCACATACCCTAGAGCTTAAAGAAGAGGAACTGGATCTATAGGAAATATGAAGAGTAAAAATAGTAAAAGGAAGTGGTCCCAAGCATCCCCAATCTGGAACGATTAGGAAATATACATCCCAGGGAAATGTGACCCCAGAAAGATCTCAGGGGGTATGTGAAAGGAGCATAATGGAAACCAGTTTGGATAAGAGCGTCAGGTCTTCCGTGGAAATGGATAATAACAGCCAACAAAATCAGAGGGAACAGAGCTAAGAGAAAATGAAGGAGAACTACAAATCCCAAATAAAAAGGAGATGGCAGAAATGTTTAAAAAATTTAGAAAAATCCATTAAACAAGAGATGGGGATTATTCAGAATGATTTGGGACATTTACTATCCAGAGTAGAAGAAAACGGAAGAAAAAAATTAAAAAGCATGCCCAAGCTATTCCAGAATTAAAAAAAAATCAGATAATGGAGATGAGGAAAGAACAAAACAAGCTGCTATATAAGTTGGGGATACAAGGAAATAAGCATAGGAGAAATAATCTTAGGATAAAAGGAGTCCCGGAGCTCACACAAGGAGAAGATCTAAGAGGGACAATATGTAAAATTTTAAACTCCATTATGGATAAACCCAGTACTGAGATATTTGAATTGGACAATGTTTATAGGATAGGAGGGTTCCAACGGGATCGGGTGGAAGAGAGACCGAGAGATGTAGTTGTACAATTCTATAAATATGGAGACTGAGAAGAGGTATGGAAGAAGATAAAAGGAAGAACCAGTATTATATATGGGGGAAAATATATACAAGTTTTTGCAGACCTGACAGCTGAGACATTGTGCAGAAAGAGATCACTGAAACCACTACTAGAACAGATGAAAAAACAGAATATACAATATAGATGGAGTAGCTCGGTGTGCTTAATTGGATGGAAGAATGGAGTCACTGCATATCTGAGATTCCTTGAGGAACTGAGAGACTTTTTTGATAAACTTAATATCCAGAGAATAGAGATTCCAGGATGGGAGGAGGAAGAAGGAGGGATATGTGCTATAGGAAAAGAGGAATGGCAGCTAGTTAGAAGGAGAAACAGAAAATTGACAGATAGGGGGACATTGGGGGAAACGGGGGGAAGGTGAGCTGTACATGGACAGAGCTCAACCCCAGGGCCGAAATCAAACGTGGCATTAGGGCCACAAATGATTAGAAGGCAAATAGTAGGCCTAGTAGGGAGAGGGGAGGGAATGGAAGGAGGGAGGGTGGAGGGGAATGGTTTGAGAAAAGAGTAGTGGGGTAGCAAGGGGGGGGGTGGGTATTGGGAGGGGGGAGGAGAGTGGAGGGGGTATTAAAGTTAACACTCTGCATAAGGAAGGGAAGTATAAGGGAATTGAGGGTGGAAAAGAGGAAATTAAGGATAAAAAAAAAAGAGACAAAAGAAGTATGGAAGAGTTACAGTTTATAACATATAATGTAAATGGGTTGAATTGTCCTGGGAAAAGATTCAAGCTATTCAAGGAGTTGCAACATAGAGAAACTTTGGTGGTCTTTTTGCAGGAGACACATCTTGAGATTAAGTCAAATATTAAGTTGAATTCTAGAAACTACCCAACATGGTTCTACGCAGATTCCCCAATTAAGAGAGCTAAGGGAGTAGCAATAGTGTTTGCAAAAAACATAAGGCTTGAGCTGGAGGAGAGAGAAATAGATCCTGAGGGGAGATTTTTGTTTTTGAGAGGTAGATTGCAAGAAATGGAATGTACAATTGCGAATATTTATTGCCCAAATAAGAGCCCGGAGTTATATTTGAAAGGTGTTTTGAAAAAATTGATGGCCTTCAAAAAGGGGCGCTTGATAGTGGCAGGGGACTTGAATTTCTGTATGGATCCACAATTGGATACGACCTCTTCTGTGCAGCAAGAGGGAGGTAGGTCTCTGAGAACCTTAAAGAAGGTGATGCAAGAGTGCCAACTGGTGGATATTTGGAGAATAATACATGGAAAAGAGAGACTAATGCACACGAGATGTACTCGAGATTGGATTATATATTGGTTGACCATCAGCTTATTGAGATGGTGGCTAAAAATAGAAATAGAGGCAATGTCTCTTTCTGATCATGTGCCTGTTACATTGAAAATGGGGTGGGGGAGGCGGTTGACAGGTGGTATAGGATGGAAGTTGAATGAGGCTCTTCTCCTGGAACAGGAGATTGATCAGAAGATTAGGGAAGAGATTGAAAGATTTTTTCAGGAGAATGAGACTGGGAAGTGTCGGTGGCTACAGTATGGGAGTCCCATAAGGCCTACATAAGAGGTATATTGATCGCGTCCGGGGCAAAAAAAAAAAAGAGAAAGAAGAGAGAAACTTACTGGGCTGTTAAAAGAAATATTTGACCTGGAGCAGATACATAAAAATAGAATAACAAAAGAGATAAGACAGAAGGTAACAAAAAAGAAAGAAGAACTAGAGATACTGATGGAAGAGGAGAGGAGAAGAGTTTTTTAATAAAATGGCAAGTGAGAGGTATAGATGGGGAGATAGACCAGGAAAATATTTAATGAAAGCCTTGAGGAAAAAAGAAAAACAGGAATTATATAGAAAAAATAAGAAACCCAAAAGGGACAAATGATTTATTCTACTAAAGAGATCGCCAAGGTGTTTAAAGAAAATTATAGCAAACTGTATAATATTACTTCCCAGGATTCAGTAAATAAAAGTGGAAATGTGAGTAGAGAAAAAAGAAGGGTATATCTACAAAAATGCAGGACTATCGAAGTTAAGTGAAGATCAACTGAATTCCCTTGATTTAGAAATTATGCAGGAGGAAATAAAAATAGCATTAAAAAAGTACCATGACGGGGAAAAGCCCAGGCCCAGATGGTTATACTGTGAGGTACTATAAAAAATACAGTGAATTAATACTGAAATTGAAGAAATATATGAACGCCCTAGGTGGGTAGATGGAGATGAGGCGAGAATCCTTACAGGCCCAAGTGGTGCTTATTCAAAAGGAAGAGAAAGATGCTTCTCAGTGTTCTAGCTATAGACCAATCTCACTTTTGAACATAGACACTAAGTTATATGCAAAGGTCTTAGCAAATAGGTTGAAAGATTTAATGCCAGAATGGATCCATGGGGACCAGGTGGGATTTGTACCAGGGAGGGAGGGTAGAGACAATGGGTTGAGAACTTTATTGCTTATCCAGAAAGCTAGGAAGGGGAAAACTCCGGCGGTGGTACTTTCAATCGATGCTGAAAAGGCAATCGATAGAGTAGATTGGAGCTTCATGATGGACACTCTGGAGACTCTAGGATTGGGAGTTAGAATGAGAGAGTGGATAGGAAAATTCTATAGAGAGCCCTCCGCGATTATTTTGGTTAACGGTGAGAGGTCGGAACCTATTGGGATGTCAAATGGAACAAGACAGGGATGCCCATTGTCCCCATTGTTGTATGTATTGTCACTGGAACCTCTACTGGCAACAATTAGGAAAAACATGGACATAAAAGGAATACAGATAGGAGGAATTGAACATAAAACTGGCTGCCTTTGCGGATGACTTGTTGTTCTATGTGGGGAATCCTAGGATAACACTCCCAAATTTAAAGAAGAGCCTAAAGGATTATGGGGAGTTATCAAATCTGAAAATCAACCCAACAAAAACTGAGATCTTAAATGTAAATCTCCCAAATAGTGAAAAAGAAAAAAGATACAAAAAGAATTCCCTTTTATATGGAAAGATAGAGAGATAAAATATCTAGGGGTTAAACTCACTGCTTCATATACGAACTTGTATAAATTAAATTATATCTCACTTTTAAATGAGATTAAGGAGGAACTAAAGAAATTGGGAGGAGGTAACCCGTCTTGGATAGGGCGCATAAATCTGATAAAAATGGTGATCGTACCTAAAGTCCTATATAGATTCCAGATGATCCCAGTTGAGCTTCCGGAGGTTTTTTTTAGGGTGATTGGAAGGATGTTGACAAGATATATATGGAGGAATAAAAAACCTAGAATATCTTATGATTTGTTGAGTAGAAATAAAGAGAAGGGAGGATTGGGAGTGCCGGATTTTAAGAGGTATTATAGAGCAGTAGTTCTAGCAAGAATTTATGACTGGACACACAATCCAGAGGGGAAAAGGTGGGTCCAGATTGAAAATGAATTAAGAGGAGTTAACTTGAGTAAAATCATATGGGTACCAGCACAATATAGAGGATTAAACGATACCACGAGTGTTTATACATTAAATGTTTTAAAGGTTTGGGATAAACTGCACAAGCTTATGAAATGGGATTTTAATTCACAATTAATGTCACTGAGGAACACAGAGTATTTCCCTCCAGGTAGGGAGGAGAGCACAGGAAAATGGTTTAAAAAGGAGGATATTCAACTGAGGGAATATTATGGAATGGCAGGAATTGAGAACACTTAAGGATTTGAAAAAGGACAAAAAGGGAACTTTTCATTAAGATAGATGAGTGGAGATATCACCAATTAAAACACTTTGTCGGGAGTCTTCCGAAACCAATGAGATTGAGAAAGGATTGGAATTTGTTTGAGAGGTTGTTGGAATCACGTGGAGATGGGAAACTGAGCACGGCAAAAGTTTATAAGGTGTACTGCATGAAGAAAAAGCACTTAGGGTGTATAAAGATGGCACCACGCCGGAAGTGCATCACACATAAGTGCCGTCGACAAGAGAAGAGGAATGGGTGGAAAGAGTAAATCAGATATGCAGGATGGAGAAATTGTATTATATGCAAGAGGACTAGATGGGGTTATATTACAGGAGGTGGGGAAAATGGGAAGATTTTATGCCCAAGGTGAAATATTATGAAGCAGTAGAGTGAGATATGTGAAAGTACCCCTTACTTAGGAAAAGGTGTAATGGAGGAATGCAGAGTGGGTGGTTTTTTTATTCTGGGGGGGGGGGGTAGGTTTCAGGGTGGGTGGGGGTAATGGAAATAAAGATAGAAAGGGATGTAACTGATGGTTATGTATGTTATATGAGAGTAGTGATGGAACATGTATTTTATATGAAAAATGAATATTTAAATTTAAAAAAAAAAAAAAAAAAAAAAAAAAGTCTTCAGCTGCCTTGTAAAGGTGATGCCTGGGCTTCTGGAATGTGGCTGTACTGGCAAAGGATGAGGCTAACCGCTCTAATTTGTACACTGCTATACATTTCCCTCAGTTGGGAAACTGACAGTTTAGTTAAACATAGATCAACATAAATTTAGTGCATGGCTAATCATATTATGAAAAAAACATTAACATACCTACTAATAAGGCAATGTGATCAAACCACACAAAAAACTGTTGATAAAACTTTTCACAGATTACATTATCACAATTAAATGATCACAGAATGTCCATAAAGCCCAAAACAAATGTGATTCAGTCCTTGAAACAAGTGAGAAAACAAACAACTTGACATAACAATTCACCACAATGATATTGCACACATCCTCCCAAGTGATCTTCAGAGTGCACTGTCCATGTACAAATAATTGCAGAAATGTGCACACTTTTCCACCTAGTGCTCCAATCCTACTCAGTTAGAAAAGACCTCATAGCAATACATATATATCACATTTTTTTCATAATTTATGGACTAGCACTGGCTAGCTTGAATGTTTGGTTTTACATATATATTTTCTCCCAATGGAATGGCCAGGAATAAAAATATGAACTGTCCTCTAGAATGTGGAAATGTGTAGAATGGTGGATTCCCACCTGATGTTCCAGCTGCTTCAGCCTCTTCCGGTCTCTTTCTTCAATCTGTGCAGGATCTAACAGGGCTGTCATGGTACGTAGAAACCTGGAGAAAAAAAAAAAAAAAAAAAAGACCCATAAATGTCTTTTCTGAGTCCATCATAAGACACTAGGCTCTTAATATTCAAGACTACTTGAGTTTGGCTGCAACCTTCAAGTGAATGAACTTTAATTCCCTGCCCAGATATAGCTCCTTCCAGTTTCACTAAGCCTCATTTTTGTATAAAGCAATGAAGTACACAAAGAGGGGAGAGATCCCCATGTCCTGTGAAGTGCTACAAGGAAAGGATTTTACAGGTACACCAAAATCCTAAGATTTGTTATTCATACATCACAGGACACAGAGTACTTCATATTCATGACTACTTGGGATGACCAAAACACTTAATGTAAGGATGGGGCAACACAGAAACAAGCCCAACAGATCCAAAACTCAAAAATAGAATAGTAGAGAACCCCACTACAAAGCTGCCTAAAAGACCTTTTGCCTAAATCTGGCACCTGCAGAAGCCTGAAAATCTACCTAGTAAAACTACCTAAATGTGTGAAGAGAAGACCAGAAAGCCCGTACAACAGAAGTGTGAGCCTGAAAATGCCCAGGAAGCAATGGCACAACTGGTGGATTAAGTCTTGACTGGAAAAGGCAGAACCTTTCCCTTGATACCATAGGTCTGAGAAATGAGCTGACTAATGCACCTAGAAATAGAGGATGGGGAAGCAGCCTAATCCCTGTGAGGAATCTCAGGTAGAGCAAACAGACTGCCAAAATTAAGCTGTAGACCTCAGGTAAATTTGAACAACTCAGACAACTAAACAGTGAAGCACCCTTCCTAAAGAGGAAAACCACCTTAGGTAAAAAGAGGACTGCCAAGTGGTGAGATCAACTCTATGATCCTTTTATCTGGTCTCAAAGTTGGTAATTGCTATTATTGGGAGGTTCCTTTGCTCTTTTAGGCCCACACACTCCTAGTAAGCTTACGAAGCATTCATCCTAGTGCACAGCGCAGTGGTGTATCCCCCAGGTCTGGTGGCTTTCAAGTGGAATTAGTGATACCCTTTACAGTCTTTTATGGGTTGTTCCCTATACCACCGTGCCAACCTAACACACAATGCTATATATGTTACGTCTTCCTGAGGAAGCTGGTCAAGAAACTAACAAAACATGTTGACGAAACAGTACCCTGAACTCCTTCAATATCACTTCTTTGATGTTTTTGTACTGTAAGATCGTCACTACATAGATGAATCAGATACAATATTTTAGTGATATATGGGTACATAGTTGGAAATGTACAATCTGGAATATTGTTTTTAATGCACATCAGATATATTCTGTCACACTTTGCTGTAGATAAAAATATACTTACAGTGTTTTATTGTATGTTGGACTACTCTAAGTGGCACCCAAAAAGTCACCATTAATTCTATATTTATTTTGGTTGTTCGGCACTTATTAAGGATGTGGTGCACAGAGATGTTTTTTAGCTTTTTGTATACAATCTCTGCAGAGAGATTACAGAGGACAAAAGGTTCTTCTCTGCAACAACCTAGCAGTGGACTGGCTATTCTACACAGGTTGCTGCTGCTGATAGATTCGTTTTCCCCCAATATTCAGCCCTGCTTAGTGTGTCAAAGACACTTTAGCTGGATTGTGAGAGGTCACCTCATATGTGAACATTATTATTTGTCAATTGCCTGGAGTCATACACTGCAAGTGTAGAGTGTTTGGCCAGCAAAATGTCTAACTGTAAGGTACCTCTGACCCTCTAGTTGTCTCACCAATGGCAGGTCCCATATGACAGGTAAAACTGGAGAGTAGAAACATATGTTACAAAAGAATAGCACTTAAAAAAAAAAAGTTTCCTATTAGGAAAACTTTCAACAGTATGGGCCTAAGAACTAGCTAATTTGTTCAGTCACTAGATTCAAGCATATGATTGATTGATATGGAGAAGCAACTTCAGAATGTTAATATGTCAGACTTTAACCCATTTACAACTGCCCACGAACTGTCACGATCGCGGCGTCAGACCCCAGACCTTCTCAACCAAACTCGTGACCGAAGGACTAGCCGATCTAAAACCGCGATGAGACATGCGTAACAATGCCACACCCAGCTGCACCCTGCACAACGATTTTCCAGCTAATGGACCACAGTCGATGTACCAACTGCCTGAATCGATTGTTACTGGGTCAGGTTAATTACGCAATTAACCCTTCACACTGCCACCACCTCCTTTTTGTTCAGAGAAAGAGGAAACTCGGCGTTATCAGCTATAACACTATAATGATTGAGATAATCGTCTGTATAAAACGGTCCGCAGGCCGGTTATACAGATTTTTAAACAAACACAGTAACGTTCTCTTTAGAGGCAGGAATTTGTAAATTGCAATAAAGCGCTATAGAAACAGTTCAACACTTTCAGAAGGAAAGATTTATTACTAAAAGGTCAAACGGGTGCAATAAAAATATTTACAGAAAAAGATGTACCTAAGATAAATATATACATATACAAAGAACCATAGCACAGCAAAGAGATATCAGAGAGAGGTGAAAGGGTTAAAGTACTTGCCAAAGTCATGGGTTAGCAGATCCAAGTTTCAGAGCAGAAGGGTGCTTTGATCTCCCTATGTTACCATGGTCAATGGGAGAATTCTTCAACCTTCACTCTTAGGCCTGACAGCCTGTTTTGTAGTCCCCAGCAAGGGGTGGCTCTGAAGTCAAGGACCAATCTCCGCTTAAGGCGTGGAGATATGGGTGGATGCCTCAACTAGAGCAAAAATCTCCTGTAACTCATATTTTGGCCTATAAGCTTGCCATCTGCACCAGTGACATCCCACCCGCGGGTAGATTATATGCAGACAAGTCTGAGGATTGATTAGATATGAATTATGAAAGCGTACACTGAACAGTTCGCGAGATCTATTTTTCTGCTTTCCTGTGCGTCCAAGACAAGTGACCCATCAAACTGTTCGCCTGCTCATCGTCCATCTAACGATATGTCGGTTTTTATGTAAGTCTCTCATATTCCAAGATATGAAACATGGGGAAACATGGATTTTGAGACGTGTTATCTGATTCTGTCAGCTATGCTGAGTAGGTTTTATTAGGTTGGAATCTCTCTCAACTCCTGAGAAAGCTTGCCTTATCTCTTCCGAGGTGTGAAATGGCACAGGTTCTTGGACAGCTAGGCGCCGGCTCCCTGGGGGGGCCTTTATAGCTCCTATGACTCTCCTGTGACATTTTATAACACACACATACACTGTCACTGTGACTCTCAGAGTGAGGAGGGAGGGGGGAAGGAGAGTGAGTGGAGAAAATGGAGATTCTTAACAAAATGGCGGACTGCGTCTGTCTCTGTCTCAACCACACGTTTGCGACAACCAATACATACAGTGCTCAGCATAAATGAGTACACCCTTTTAGAAAAGTAAGCTTTTAAACAATATCTCAATAAACACAAGAACAATTTCCAAAATGTTGACAAAACTGAGTTTTATAGATCATTTATTTAGCTCATTACATGAAAGTTAGGTTAATAATATAACTTATATTACAAAATATGCAGTTTTACTCAAATTAGTTGATGCAAAAATGAATACACTCCACAACAAAAACGACTCCATCTAGTATTTTGTATGACCTCCATGATTTGTAAGGACAGCACCAAGTCTTCTAGGCATGGAATGAACAAGTTGACGACATATTGCAACATCTATCTTTTTTCCATTCTTCAGGAACAACCTCTTTTAGAACCTGGATGCTGGATGGAGAGTGATGCTCAACTTCAGAATTCCATATTCCATAGGTGTGCGATTGGGTTCAGATCAGGAGACATACTTGGCCACTGAATCACTTTCATCCTGTTCTTCTTCAGAAATGCAACAGTGGCCTTAGATGTGTTTTGAATCATTGTCATGTTGGAAAAGTGCACAACAACCAAGGGCACGGAGTGATGGTAGCATTTTCTCTATCAAAATAGAGCAGTACATTTGTGAATTCATGATACCATCAAAGAAATGCAGCTTGCCGACACCAGCAGCACTCATGCAGGCCCAAGGAAGGTCACTGCCGGCACCATGTTTTACTGTAGGCACCATGCATTTTTCTTTGTACTCCTCACCCTTGTGAAGCCATACAGATTTGAAGCCATCAGTTCCAAAAACATTTATCTTGGTCTCATCACTCCAGAGTACAGAGTCCCAGTAGTCGTCTTTTTCAGCATGGGCCCTGGCAAATTCTAGGCAGGCTTTTTTGTGCATGGGCTTTAGGAGAAGCTTCCTTCATGGATGGCACCCATGCATGCCATTCCTGTGCAGTGTACGTTGTATTGTGTCACAGGAAAACAATCACCCCAGTTTGACTTTCTTTAGCTGACTGCAGTGAACTTGCATGGTGATTTTCTTCATCCCTTCTCATCAGAAGACGCTCCTGTTGAGGTGTTAACTTCCATGGACAGCCCGTATCTGTGAGATGGCTGCAGTTCCATTTTTGTATCACTTTTGCTACAGTATTCTAAGTGATAAGTAAAGCTTTGCTAGTCTTCTTGTAGCCTTCACCTTTCTTGTGTAAAGAATTTAGCTGTGCTTCTAAGACTTTCAGAGTGTATAATTTTTGAAACATGGTCTTGAATGAATTTGTTAGGAAAAATAAACTTTTTGTGTGTACAAAATTAACAAATCTTGTTGGCAATGAATGGCTCGCATTTTTGAGAGTATTTGTAGTATATTGTCCCATAGAAAATGTTGATTTTTTTTTTTTATACATATTTCAGATCTTTTATTAAACTTTTTTTCCATTACAAAAACACGGCAAAATATAATTTTCATCCAAAATATAAACATATTCCCTAAATTTTGCATTCCAACTTCCCCACTACCCCCCCTCCCCCAAACCCCCGTACAACTCCCCGGTCCATATAGCTCTTCCCTTCTTTTCCAACTATCCAATCCATACCTGTAATCTGTCTCAATTTTCTTTTTCTTATTATTCTCTCTTTCTTTCCCTCCATTCTTCCACCTCAAATTAGATCCCTAGGCCTCCCACTACTACTATTTTCCAGATGCCTTGAAGTCAGACCATCTTCCCCATTCCTTTCTAAATTTACCCATATTACCTTCATCTATATGGTATAACTTCTCCATCTTATTTGTAAATTCCACCCTGTCTAACCAGTCCCTCATTGTTGGAGGTTCCTGTACCTGCCAAAATTTAGGAATAAGCCCTTTAGCCGCACTAATTAGATGGTATAATACACTTATTTTGTAGTGCTTCACTGGTACTTCTGTCCTGTAGAATAAACACACCCACAGATCCTTCTGTATAGTTGTCCCTAGTATCACTTGTATAAACTGGATTACATCTTGCCAAAACCCCTGTATTTTTGCACAGTCCCACCATATATGTGCCATTGTTCCCTTAGCGCCACATCCCCTCCAACATAAAGGTGAGACTTCTACTTGTCTGTGTCAACACTCGGTGTCAAATACCACCTCGTTAAACATTCAGAATTAATTTCAACCGCATTCATATTAATCACCCCATGTGTTAATTTCAACATTTTATTTATTTCTGTGATTCATTAATTTTTGTTCCTAGTTCCCTTTCCCATTTCTCTAAGAACAGGGGGGACCTGCCCCCCACTTCAACAAGAATCTTTTATATCCCAGAAGTAACATCTTATGGAGCCATACCGGATCCCAACATCTTTTCAAATGGGAGCATGTCCTCCGTCATACTCAGTGGTCGAGGCAACTTCGCAACAAAATGTTTTAATTGATAATATCTCAATTCATCTAGTGTCACAAATAATTCTTTTCTAGAAAATGTTGATTCTGAAAGGAAAGTAAAAGTTTTCTGACAAATCTGTTGTGAGTGTACTCATTTATGCTGAGCACTGTATGACTACATGCATTGCTGGGCAGCCAATGTTTACGTGTTGGGAGGACACTCACTGCACACTTCCAGCACAAAGGCCAATCTGTCAAAGAAAGCTCTTCATCAGGGCTAAAGATCAGTAGTACTTGGCAGGACCAACTTCCAATCATGTGGTCACATGATTGCTGATCCTTCCTGCCCCCAGGTGTTTGAAACTGTTTAAAAAGGGACGCCAGGGCGGACTGGAAGGGGTTAGGAATTGTAAGCGAGTGAATGCCCTGACACCGAATCAAATTGTACTTCAGCAAAAATTGGATAGTGATAGTTTTTACAGATACCCTTGCTTCAAGTTAGACAGAGCATGGCCCATACCTACCCAGCTTTCTGACTTTGAAAATATTCTTCCTCTGCTGACCTCCTTGTTTCTGGCTGTTCTTGTTGCAGATTAATTATGGCAGGAGCTGGCTGATGATCTGCTGGTCCTGGTTCTGAAGAGGAAGGAGTAATTTCAGGCAGCTGGAAATTATCACTGTTCTCATGCACAGGAGTTTGATTATTGGCCACCTTCTTAAATGAATCAAAGTGCATTGTCCAAAGATCTGGCTGCTCAGCCTGAAAAAAAAATTATAAAGACACAGAAATTAGTAATCAAAATAGGATTATGACACTATAACACCCTGTCCCTGAACACACAAAGATGTGTCTTCATTTCTATCAGTTCCTTTGTTCCGCAAGCTTAAAAGTGGTTGTAAACCTTAGACATGGAAAATGAACAAAGCACATGATTTTATAGTGTTTACTTGCCTCAATCCAAAGTACTAATTCATTTCACTGTGCAGTCTCCTTCCTCTGCTATCTGAATAAGTCAATACCAGACAGTCTCATAGGGTATAGTGTGGTGCAAGATTCAGCGCATCACACAACTCCCTTTTTTTTGTATAAACTTAAGTTAAAGTGTACAAAATGGTTGCAGGCCATCCAGCAGAAGCAACTCCAGGCCTCTCTCCATGGATCCGCTCTTGAGAAGAACTGTAGTTTGCTGGCCAAGGGCTCTTGCCTGTGTAGAAGACACTACCTGGTCGTACTCTTCAGTGCTAACCTCCCTCATTTCTGTGAATCTATCGAAATCCTTCAGCTATAGCTATCTGCTACAGACTTATCTCTCTCATAGTGCCTACTGGACTGTCATGCCCTATGCATACCAGCCCCCTTTTTGATTCTGGAATGGGATTCTCTGGCTGTCACATAGGAAATTTTCTATCAAGTTGATATTGAGAGTTGTCTCTCATGAGAGTGTATTGAATATGTTGCTATTTCTTCCATGCTGTGGGCTGCACTATTCCATGCCCACTATTCGATTTCCTCTTTTCTCTCGCTTTCCAGATAATCATGGCAAACCCCTGGAATGTTATTGGGCCCTCCTGTACACGTACCAGGAACCAGCACTCTACCTGAATTTTCCCTTCCCTTCCCCCCCCCCCCCCCCCGTTCCATCCCCTCTCCCCCCCCCTCCTCCTTTTTTTCCCTTCCTTTTTCTATATGCAGCAAGTGTGCTACAATCTCAGGCTGCTCTCCCCGTATGTTAAAGGGTGAAAGGTTATCTGTTATCACTTCAGATTAACTCTTTATAATTAGTGGAACTAGCGGGTGCTGCTTATAGAACATTGATAGTGCTTAGTTTCACCACCCCCCATAGAATGCAGGGCTCCGACTTGTCCCCGATTTAGGACAAACTGACCTCTGCTGGCTATCTTATCCATCCTTTTTCATGTTTTAGGTCAGGCTTGTGTGGCCTGATCTTGACGTCTGTATTCTATTTTCCTTCTCCCCCTTTTTTTTTTTTTTTCCTTATTAGTGTGTACTTTTGTTCCCTTCCACGCCCTCCTCCTCTCCCCCTTTTTTTTGGGCTGCCATGGATGGATCCCGGCAGGACACCTCTATTAAGCTCTGCTCATTTAATACGAGGGGCCTGAAAGAACCGAAGAAGAGATCACAGATCTTATACCACCTTCAAAAGTCCAAAGTTAGCATTGCTTTTTTTTTTTCAGGATACTCATTTCAGCTCAGATAAATCCCTGCTTTACAGAAAAGGTACTACCCGACTTGGTACCACAGTACATACACTCATTCGAAATCTTGAGGGGTTGCGACGGCATTCAACAAATTCGTTAACTACAATATATTGGATGTCTGTGAGGACACTGTGGGTAGGTACCTGTTCTTGAAACTTACCATTTCCGGCAAGATATATACTGGTGACTATGTATGTACCTAATCAGGATCAAATCAATCACTCTAAGCTATCTTCACAACTTGTTAGACTTTGCAGAAGAGGCGCTACTCCTTTTAACTGTGTACTTGACCCCATGCTAGATACCACTGTGGGAAAGAGTTCTGCTTTATATTCGAGACTCAATACTATGACAAAATTCCTATTGAAATATAATTTAATGTCTGGCGCCTTTCTCATCCTACGGACAGAGATTATTCCTTTTACTCCCCAGCTCATGATTCGCATTCTCGCATCAACGTTTTTCTTGTTAGCCATTTTGTTCTGACTCTTCAACCGCAGAGCAGCATTGGGAGCATTCTCTGGTCCGATCATGCGCCAGTATACTTGTCCCTTTCTCTACCTGACCGGTCTTCTCAAGAGTGGACCTGGACACTAAATGTGTCAGGGTTCTGTCCTCGGCAGAGGTGTTAGAAGACCTGGCACCCCTGCCAGTACTTTGCATGGCCGCAGAAGTTCACATCAGCTCAAATTTGGCTCCAAACGGCCTTTATAAAGGAAGCCCTGCCCTACTCTCAGGTGCTGGTTGATCTCTGGCTTCCCAGTACCTTGCTCCTGTTTCCTGTGCTATTGTGATCTGGGATTTCCTGATACCGACTTGGCTTGCTCTTGGACCGGTCTTCTCTGCTTAACCCCTGATCTGACCTCAGCTTGGCTAACAGATATTCCCTCTTTGCTCTTCTGTGTATGACCTCAGCTATCCCATCTGACAACGTCTGCTCTGATTCCCACCTGGTACCTGACCTCGGCTTTGAACTGGCTATCCTGTGATCCTGTTTCCCGAAAGGCTTGCATACCTCGCACAGGCACCACCTGTCTGCAGAGTCCATCTCAGTGCATCAGCTGTGCTCCTGGGTGGACCACCAACAAGCACTCCTACAGGTGACCTGTGCCACTTTGGGCCTGACTCCTGTTGTCCCACTCTCAGGGGAGTCTGGAACTCAAAGGAATCCCTCTCTCCATTGGCCTCTAACACCAGGTACGTGATAAAATAACTTGTTGCTCCGTGATGAACTTTGTATGTCTGGGGTTAACTCCACCACAACTAAGTTCCTTTTGGATCACCCAACCAATAGCACGCCTGCTCCAGTACAATGGGAAGCGCTGAAATGTGTGGTGCGTGAAACTTTCATTAAACATGGCTCCCGACTTAAGAAGGAGAGGCAGCCCATATCCAGGATTTATTGGCCCGCATTTCCGATTCGAAATCGTTCACAAAACGGCAGCAATCTCCAGATACATTATCACAGTTATCAGAGGGTAGACTTCAAATGTCTGCACCTCTTTGACCTGAAAACCAACTCCATCACAGATAAGACACGGAAACTGTTTTACTTAGCCATTAATAAACCTGGCAGGTTGTTGGCTAGTATTTTGTATGCCAAGAATGGCCTCTCTTCTATTCTGAAAATGAAAGACCCAAATGGTAAGATCACCCCAAAGAAACAGCCTGTTTTTGCACATTCTATCACGACTTGTATAATCTGCCCTCTAATATGTCAGAGGAGGAGTTTGCTATGAGTCTACATCACTAGAAATGCCCTTCCTACACTTCTCACCTTGATCGTCCTTTCTCAGAAGAACTTGCTGTAGCTGTAGCCTCACTTCAAAGTAACAAAAGTCCTGGCCCAGATGGCTTCAGTGCCCAATTCTATAAATCTTTTCATGCATCTCTTGGCCCGATCCTCCTTAAGGCGTTTAACGCAATCTCATCAGATTCCCCTTTCCTGCCTCAGGTGTCAGAGGCCCATATAACTGTACTTATAATAATACCACTTCCTAAATGAATTCAAATTCAACTCCCCCACAGCACAATCACCACCTTCACCCCCCGAAGATGCAAACAATAATATAATAATGAATATGCCACAATATAGTTGAAAAATCCCCCCTAGAACCAAAACTCCAGTGAAATCAAGTCCCAAAAAAGTCCAAAATGTTAAAAATAGAAAAACCATACACAGAACAAAACACCATCAAGTTCCTCCTGTGTAATCAAGATGAAACAAATGTGTCCAAAGAAAATTTATATTCTCCCAATGGTTTCCACTATAAGTGTTACCTCAAATAAAAGAAATAACACATAGTGCATTATCTTTTGTACAGTCTAAACATTAATAAGTGACATCACTCTAGTGAGTATCCCATAAGCGATACTTTTCAGTGAAAAATTAGTGCAAAAAATGTGAAACACTGTGTATGTGAATCACTCTTCAGTGCCCAAAAACAAGCAAACACGGTGTGCACTTCTATTGGAATAAGGAGTGAATGATTAAGTCTATGACGAAACGCGTCAAGGGAAGTGACGTCAGACGTACACAGGAACCGGAAGTATACCAACGGCCATTTTGGAAAGTGGAAAGGAGCACTTGAAAGAGCCTGGATGTTTCCTGGATGGCAGAAAGGTTATATTATATATACAAAGCGGTTTTAAAGGCTGTAATAATGTGAGCAGTTTTATTAAAGCTTATAGATTTAGATATCTTGGCAGTATTACACTATTCTTATCCTTCTTATCCTTGGAGCAAGGTGTATGGGGACACATGGAGTACTATGGTTGATGGATCCAGGTATTGCCGTGGAGGTTTTGTATGCCTTGTGGATATCTCCAGGAGGGCCATTATTCTTCATTTAATTGGATAACATTAAAGGCGCGATAATTTTGGATTGTTGGTAAGGGTATTCACTCCTTATTCCAATAGAAGTGCACACCGTGTTTGCTTGTTTTTGGGCACTGAAGAGTGATTCACATACAGTGTTGTTTCACTTTTTGTTTCACATTTTTTTCACTAATTTTTCACTGAAAAGAATCGCTTATGGGATACTCACTAGAGTGATGTCACTTATTAATGTTTAGACTGTACAAAAGATAATGCACTATGTGTTATTTCTTTTTTTTTGAGGTAACATTTATCGTGGAAACCGTTGGGAGAAAAAAAATTTCTTTGGACACATTTGTTTCATCTGGATTACACAAGAGGGATTTGATGGTGTTTTGTTCTGTGTATGGTTTTTCTATTTTTGAAATTTTGGACTTTTATGGGACTTGATTTCACTGGAGTTTTGGTTCTAGGGGGGATTTTTTTCAACTATATTGTGGCATATTCATTATTATATTATCATATAACTGTACTGCCTAAACCTGGAAAGGACCCCACCTTGTGCGGAAGCTATTGCTCGATCTCTTTAACAAATATTGATAAGACACTACATGCCAAATTGATAGCTAATCACCTCACACCCCTGCTGCCGACCCTGATCCACCTTGATCAAGTGGGATTTATCCCTGACAGGGAAGCTAGGGATAACACCCTCAAAACGA